TCTTAGAAGGAGGCTGCTTCTTAGAAGGCGCCGGCCTTACATCTATACATAAGGCCCGCGCCTTCTAAGAAGCAGGGGTGCTTCTAAGAAGCCCTCCCCCCTCCCCCCACCCCCCTTTGCGCGTGGCTGAAGCAGGAGAAGCACTGCCGGGAAATCTTGCCTTGAGAAAGAGAAGATGCAGCCGGTGCGTGGCCGTCGGGGCCACAAAAAAGAGCCCGCGTTACGGCGAGAGCACGACCCCTGAGGAGATCGTGAGGACGTCTCCGGCGAGACAGCTTCCGGACCAGGCGGTCCGGGGCTCCCCGTCCCCCCTGTGGGGCCCTTCCCTGGTCCCTTCGAACATCGATGAGAGCCAGCGAGCACGCCATGAGGGAGAAAGGGTATCGGCACTTTTTCCTACTCGGGGCAACGATGCGGGGGGACTGGGCTCAAGGGGGAAGCATCGACCTGGAATCGGCGATACATCGCCGATAGATCGGCGACAGGCCCCCGATAGCGGAGCCGCACGTTCCTGGGCGGTGTCGGCGCCTCCCCCATTGAGCCGATCCCCCCTCGGTGAGCCGCCCCGAGGCGCAACGCGCAACCCGTAGCGTGTTGACATGTAGCTCAAGCCGTAGACTGAAGACATAGGCCTGGCGCGGCACGTTCGCCGACATGCGGGTGCCGAGACAACGCGCAGCGTGATAGCACGGGCGTTTTGAACACGGTACGTCTTGCGCTTCTGGAAGAACAGGGAAGGCACAACAAGTTCTCGGAGCTCCGCACGGATTTCGTGGATCGGTGCTGGGCCCCCCTCCCTGGCGCGCGGAGCGCGCCAAGGGCGGCGCTGGAGGCGCCGCCGGGGGGGGGGCCAGCGCCGATCCAAGAGATCCGCACGGAGCTGCGAAAGTTTCTGCATGTGCCGTCTCTGCTCCCTCGAGGGTCAAGACGGGCGCATCAGGGCAGCCTACGCCCCGTCACAGGATGGGCCGACCCTCCACCACCACCACTACCATGAGTAGGAGAGGGGGGAGAGGGGAGGGGGAGGAGAACAAGCTAGGTGCACTCGCGTCATATCTGACATCCTACCCCTCCCTCCCATCCCGTACCATGGCGCAGATCCCCTCTCTACTCGCTCAGTCGGATGTCGAGCAGGGCAATGATCCCGAAAGGGTACGCGATGCATTGTAGAGCACGGCATGGCATGGCGTAGAAGAGCACCGCAAAGCGTAGTATCAACCTAGCATTGCATTGCATGCCGTGGCATGGCACGGGAAATGACGCCAGCGCTGCAGCGGGAGCACGAGTCGAAACGAGCGGAAGCGCGGAAATGAGGCCAGCGCTGCAGCGGGAGCACGATTCGGAACGAGCGGAAGCACGGAAATGAGGCCAGCGCTGCAGCGGGAGCACGATTCGGAACGAGCGGGGCCCGAAAATGAGGCCGGCGTCTCAGCGAGAGCAGCATGTTGAGAAAAAATGCAGGCGAAAACCAAACTCCGGGGAAACCTGTGTTAAAAATGGTACGCGGGGGGGGGTCGGCCACTTTCAAATCGTCATCAGGGGAAGAGGGAGAGTAGTATTCATATTGAGTAATTGTGGAGGAGGAGGAGGAGGAGGAGGAGGAGGACCACCCGGTCCTCCCTTCTCCCCCATCCTACCTGTTCTAGCGGTGGCGAAAATTTGCCCATCCACACGCACACAACGTCCTTAGAACACAAACCCAACGCGCTAGAGCAAGACATTCCAGGCCAGAAGTGTTCCAAGCACACTTGCACAAACCAAAAAAAAATGTCAGAACATTCTTTGGTGGACCCATAGGGAAGCCAGGACGCTTCGCCACTGCTTGACTCACATCCCCTCTGCGCTGGCCTCCGCCAGGCCGGACGCGCGGAGCGGCGCCGCCGCTGCGGCACCGCCCGACTCCCTGCGCAGCAGCGCCGCGGCTCGGCCGCGGCGGGCAGGGCGGCTGGCTTCGCCAGCGCGGCCGGCGTCCCCGCCTGGGGGCCTGGCGTGGGCCGAGACGTCGGCACCGACAGCCCACTCCTCCGCCTCCCCCCCCCCTCCTCCCCCAACCCCTCCCCCTCCCTCCTCACTCCTCGCTCCTCCCGTGGCCCGAGAGAGAGAGAGAGACGACGCAAAAGCGCCGATCCGTGGCACTTCGAGGCCATCCTGCGGCCCAAGTCTTTCAATACTTCCGCAGGCCGAGAGATTTTCCTCTTGAGCCCCACATGTCATCCTCTTGCCTTTTTCCCTCATCCTTCCCCTCTTCATAAATTTATTCCCGGGAAATAAATGGATCCATCGTTTTTTTTCACACACAGGAAATTGGATCCGCGCAACACAGAAATAGGATCCACGAAACTCTCCCACACCCGCAAAGGGATCCAATTGGATCCGTTGATGTTGTCATATATTTTTAGTCCAAGAGGAAAAAACTTTCGGCCTGGGGATGTACTGAAGATGCTGTTTGCTCCCCGGGTGAATTGGCCCCGAGGGGCCCAAACGGCTGCCCAGAACCAAA